CCCAAATACCGAAATACAATGTTTTTTCAGGTTTTTAACAGCCAAAAAAATTAGAAGTGCTTTTATAAGTAATATTCAACTGAAAAAAGCCAAGACATGGATGTACTTAAATTACATTCTGTCTTTATCGACAGAAAGCCGGTAGATTTTCCGAATTCACCATATTTGTGTATACATGTGTACATACATCTTATTTGCATGTACTGAACAGATTTTTTTAACCCTAAGAGTTAGATCCTTGTAGCCTTTTAAGTAAGGAACAAAATAAGCTTAAAATTAGGTGGATAGAGTAAGAATTCGGAAAAACTAGGAATTTAAGCCATTTTTGGGCTTTCTAAAATGAAGTGAATTGAATCTTACTGCAATTTGTACAAAATAGTTGATGATATATGCCGCCATCTTGGATTAAACGTTTTGAACTTGGCTATTTAACCCCGGATTCGTAATCAGCGATCTATAATCATCTCGTAAGCGAAACTTGACACAAATCGGTTGATTTTTAATAAATTTTGCTACCATCTTGGATCCGCCATCTTGAATTTGGCTAATTGGACCCTGAAATCGTGATCAGCGACCCAAAAAACACCTGAATACTAAATTGGGTACATATCGGTTGATTTTTGATAATTTTAGCCGTCATCTTGAATTTTGCTGAATTGACCCCAAATTCATGATCAGCGACCTAAAAAGCGCCTGAATACAAAATTTGGTAGAAAGCAAGGATTTTGACCGCTTTTTGGGCTTTCTAGACAACTGTGGGCCGGGGTGGTATGCCGTCAGTGTAAAACCCCGTCACCCGACCTAAGCTGCCAGCAGTTTGGTCTTCGACAAGGTTACGCATACCGTAGAGGGGAGTAGTAGTAAAAGTAGTAGTAACAGTAGTAGTAGTAGTAGTAGTAGTAGTAGTAGTAGTGGTAGTAGTAGTAGTAGTAGTAGTAGTAGTAGTAGTAGTAGTAGTAGTGGTTGTAGTAGTAGTAGTGGTAGTAGTAGTAGTAGTAGTAGTAGTAGTTTTTTTTTTTTTTTGTGGAGGGAGGGGAAATGCATTGAGGCACATCGCATGGACAGCGGTAGTGTGGGACTCGGTAGATTTTTTTTATGAGACCACCCATACCCACTCGAAACCCCCCCCCCCATGCCGCGTGGCTTATGATCCACCCTAGAACCGCGTTAGCACTACTTCAGGGTGAAGCCACCAGGAAGACCATTGCGTCTCACAGCATTAACGAGCTTACTCGCCACCATTTGCTAGAGGTGCTGATGCTCTCGAGTCCTGAAAAGGACTGGGGGTCCCTGAGAACCAGCACCTTGTTTAGCGCTTCATAGTAGGCCGCCTACTTAGCCAGCACCACTATAAGCTTAATGCTTTCCCTTGCTGATAGGTAAAAAGTACCCAGCGCAGCGTGGGTCCACATGAGCCTGTCTTTAAACTCAAGGCCTTTTTGCCTTGTTTTGATCCTGCTTAGGCCTCATTCCTGGCCTCTTTCAGGGCTCTTCTAAATAGAGGGCAGCTTCTGCTGCCTGCTTCGTGCTTGTTGTCCGTTGTTGGGCGAAGAAAGCACCGTGCTGGACCTAGGCACTCTTTCTTCCGGTGGTTTGTGCTTCCACACCGAAAGCAAATTTTAGATCTGTTTTCTTCCTTACAGTTGCCCGAGACGTCTCCATATCCCAGGCATTTGTAACATCTTGTTACTTCGATTCTTCTTTGAATTCGGCAGCTTACAAAGCCAACTCGTAACCTGCCTTCCTCTTCTACTTGTCTGGCAGTTGTTTCGTCCACCTTGATTAAAGCCAGCTTCAGTCCTCTGGCATTTGGCTTTAAGAGAGTTACTTCTGGCTCCTGGCTCTTGAGTCCAAAAGTCCTAGCGAAAGCCTTTTTGACCTCATCTTCCTCTACAATGGCATCCAGGTCTCGGACCTCTAAAGTCACTTTTCTACTGCTTATTTTGACAGTATCTTCTCCGGCTACCGACTTTTCAATTTGCTGTGAGAATGCCGTAGCATTCTCTACACCTTTGGCCTTAATAAGTATGTCTCCTTTTTTTTTGTAGTGACAACACTTTGGACTGCCACTTTAGCCTTATCGGGCTCAAAGTTCGCCCTCCTAGTCTTTAGCACCGTTGCAAAGGTCTGTCCTTCAGCCATCTTCACTACTACTGTTGTCGTGGCGTCCACTTTTTTCTTCTGGCTTGTTTTGTCATTCAGGGGAATTTCTTCTTGTTTGCCACTACCTGTCTTCTTTCTCTTTAAAGACATAGTATGCTGGCGTTTTTCAGGGCTGTCCGATGGGCTCCTGTTTCTCTTACTTCGTTCTATTTCCTTGTAGGCAGTGTTCAGGGTTCGTTTCTGTACATGCCGTCAGAAATTATCTCGCCTTTGTTCCCTCCACTGCAGGGATTCAAATAACGACTTTCAAGCGTTAGTATACAAATCTTCATCCATAAGACAGCCTTTTCTTAGCACCTCTGCCTCTTGAAGATGCTTAAGCGCCGCTTTGAGCCCATTTTTAACAGCGTTCGCTGTGTTGCCGTACTTTTCAATAATCAGTTGCAGCGTCTCTGTAATGTCATTTGTTGCTGATTGGACTTTATCAGCAACTTGCTGTCGCTTTACTCCGAGCCTAGTGACACTTTTTTCTAAAGAGGCAAGCTCTTCCTGGGTCTGGTGGCTAAATACCGACACGTTGCGAACCTCGGTGTCGTTAGTGCCTATACTCGACAGGCTTCCTCGTCGTCCTTTGTCTTTGAGAAAAGGCCATGGAACATTTAGCAGTCCCTGTTGGCCATGAAACACGTCTTTGTGGCCCCCCCCAGAATCCGTGGGGCCTGCGTCAGTCACCCGGGCTTTCACCGGATCGGAACTGCCGGCGGATTCTCTCAGAGAGGTTACCGCCTGGGGTACTTGTTTAGCATTGACGTTTTTCATATTGGCATCTTTTTTAATGTCGTACTGACCCGCGAGGGCCAACACTACCCTTTTTTCTGGAAATAAGTATTTGGAAAGGGTTAAAACCAGGGCAGCAGCCCTCTCTGTTACCAGAGAAAACCGCTACTTGCTCGGGCCGGCCGGGAGTCGCCACTCTCCCTCAGTCCCACCCACGGAGACTGCCCTGGCGTTGAGTAATAAGTGTAAGAATAGTGTTTTTGTGTAATGTATGTATTTGTTGGTACACAACGGTCATCCCAGCGAGACGAGCGGCAGGTGTACAGTCCCGAGACCGCGCAGACAACCCAACAAAACGGGCTGGCGTAAGGCACTAAGGTGCCGCCATATAGCCTCCTCAGTGGTAGTAAGCCTAGATTAGTCGGCCCACCACGTCTTTTTTGTTCATGAGGCGTACAGCCATATCAGATGTGGTTACCCAGACTTACCCGGGCCTCATCATCCGGCTTCACCCATCGCCGGGCTCCCAACGCAAGCCCGGAAAAGGACCCGCCACACGCAGCCCAGAACGATCCGTAAGTGTCCCTGTGTTTGTTTAGTAAGAGTGTGTGATGCATGTATCTGAGAAGAATGTTCTAACCGCCGCTTACTTCTATACACGACGGGTGCTAGTTTTTGTTGGCCCGCATCAAGCAATGGAGTGCCACCCACGGAAGCAGCAAAAAGCGAAGACCAAGGAGCACAAGCAGAGCCGGCCCATGCATCCACACCGACGGAGGCATGGGGCACTAGTCCCCCGTCCACATCGCCGCAGATACACACGCCAACGCCACACACGCCCCCCGATCCACGCCCCCGACCACCACCAGAGAGATCAACCCCAACTGCCCATCGTCACCTCTTATTTTAAGAGGATGCCCCTATCCGCCACCCGGGGAAGCGCCCGGTATGGAGAAACTAGCGAAAACCCCACCCGGGAGTAGTAGTAGTAGTAGTAGTAGTAGTAGTAGTAGTAGTAGTAGTAGTAGTAGTAGTAGTAGTAGTAGTAGTAGTAGTAGTAGTAGTAGTAGTAGTAGTAGTAGTAGTAGTAGTAGTAGTAGTAGTAGTAGTAGTAGTAGTAGTAGTAGTAGTAGTAGTAGTAGTAGTAGTAGTAGTAGTAGTAGTAGTAGTAGTAGTAGTAGTAGTAGTAGTAGTAGTAGTAGTAGTAGTAGTAGTAGTAGTAGTAGTAGTAGTAGTAGTAGTAGTAGTAGTAGTAGTAGTAGTAGTAGTAGTAGTAGTATTAGTATTAGTATTAGTAGTAGTAGTAGTAGTAGTAGTACTAAAGCGTTTCTAACATCGAGTCACCAGGATACAGGCGCTTCTTGTCTTATGTGAGGGTTTTCATGCCTCCCTCACCGACTCAAGGAATTCAGTCACAGCTATGACCGTCGATCGTCCCCCTTGATACCCGTACTGATTATCCGAGAGACTGACTTCCCCTCTGAGACTTCGCCTTTTGAGCATTTTTCCGGCATTATCCAGCATGCACAAAGGTCGGAGCAACGACGAAACCAAGGGGGGTGGTTTACCCTTGTCCAGAAGGACAAGCCTTCGGATCTTCAACCGCTCGCTGAACAGTCCGTTGCGCAAATATGCATTAAATATGTATTGCAACACGTGTGGTTTTTCCGCGGCTATGACCTTGAGGACTTTAGATGGCACTCTGTTTGGACCTGGGGCCTTGTGGCCCGGCGTCTCGGATACCACCGACTTCAATTCATCGAGGGTAAATAGAGGCACCTCGCCAACACTTATGTCCTCTCGCCTCCTTTCGGGAACTCCGGAGAGAGACAAAAGACCACCCTCTTCAAGAAGGAAGGCTTCATCGGCACTACCAGATCCAAACCACGCAGTCTTTTTAGCGCGGTTTGGTAGCCCAGGCCCCACGTATTTTTATCTACATCAGCGATAAGTTCGCGCCAGCATCGGTTCTTGCTTACCTTGATCTCCCGCACCAGGATACTTTTTGCTTTCCTGTACGCGGCACCAGCCATTCCTACGTCTTCGCGATTTCTGTGTCACTGTGCAAGACGGCGTAGGCACTGCGCCTTCCTGCGCAGGTTGGCAATTTCTTCGGTCCACTAGCAGCACGACCGCCAGCCCCGCCTGGCGGTTCTTTTGGGCATACACGTGTCACACCACTCCTTGACATGTCTCATGGTACCCTCTACAAGAGCCTCGACTTCCACCGCATTGGTAATCTTATATAAGTCGGCGTAAGGGGGCGCGCTTGTCATGGCTTCCCGCAACAAATCTCGATTCAGCTTTGCTACGTTCCATCTGGCTGCACGCCCTTGAGGCACTCCTCGCAAGTTTGTTCCATGTTCCTCATTAATTGTGAAGCTGACATTTTGGTGATAACTAGCCGTATAGTCCTCCAGAACCTGCCAGTCAGACACCCGCGCCGCCATTTGTGACGACGCTAGTGTAAAGTCGATGATCGTGCCCCGGTTTCCGGTTCGTCTGAACGTTGCTAAACTACCAGAGTTCATGACGATGAGATCTAGCCTTGCAGCCATCTCTAGCACCGCCCGCCCCCTGGAGTCGGTTCTCGGCTCCCCCCAAGAGATGGCCTTGGAGTTGAAGTCGCCGGCCAGGACTAAGTCGCCATTCTCCCTGCACACACAAATAGTATCCTCGAGCTCGGCAAGCCGCCCTCTAAGGACGCCGATCGATATGTTAAGGAAAATGTAGCAGCTCACATAGAATACTCTTCCACTCCTGATCCGCACGAACCCGTCCCCGCCTCTGGAATTGGATACGGGAAACTTGTCGCTGCGAATCAAGATGGTCGCGCATCCAGTCCTGTCGCAGTACCAGCCCCAACCTGATAACGTGCGGGACGACTCATTTATGAAGAGCGAGTCTACACCCCGGGCGCGGGAGAACTGGTCCAGCAGATCATGCGCAAGCACGGTCCCATCAAGGTTTACTTGCAGAATCACCGCCATTTTCGCTGAGCTCCTCCTGCAAATTCCCGCAGCGCTTGACACCCGGCAGCCCCAGTGACGTGTCCGGTGTCCGGTTTCGGGACGACGCATTCACACAAGTAACAGCTCACTTCTTTTTTGGGGCAAGCCCCGGTTCTGTCAGGCCCGCCCTACTGCCTAGCAATGTGGCCAAAGCCCAGGCACTTGAAGCAGCGCTCAGCATTGTAGTTAGGCCGCATCTTGCAATTCACCCAGCCCAGCCTTATATTATGCATCTTATTGAGGATCGTAGCCGCCGTCACAGGTGCCTCAACGTAAGCTACCCAATTTTCCCTGACAGTGCCAAATGACAGCCGTACTGCCAAGACAGGGGCATTCTCTCCCTCAAAACAGCTTCTAAGTGCTGCCTGCACATTTTGCTCCGTCACCGTAAGGTCAACGTCTCTGATCTCGTATATTAAGCGTGGGGCAAGAGTCCTCACGCCGCCAGCACTCGCCACAGCGTTTTTAAGCGCGTCAGCAAACGCCTCGCGGCAGTCAGACGTGGTGTCTCTCAACTCGATGAGAACACAGCCCGTTCTCGTCTCCCTGATTGACCCCACGTTCGCCCCGAGCTCGACAACATTGACCCCCTTCATCAGGGCCAGGACATCGGCATATCTTTTGCTCTCTGCTGGCTGTACGATAATCGCATCAGGCCTGGCCCTCTGACTTCTTCCCTCACTGGCCTTTGATGGCTTGGCAACTGATTTTGGGATCTTATCCTGTTTAGCTTTTTCCTTTACCGGTTTTTTTTTTTTCTATTCTGAACCTTCGTCCAATTTTCCCCATTGCCCGGACCGCCAACCACGCCGTGCTCTGGTTGCGGCTGAAAGCCAAGCCCTCTTGGCTTTTTCGAGACCTTTTCTGGCGTTAATTTTTGGCTTGGGGTTTCCCATCCTCTCCTACCTTTCTTTTTTCTTTCTGTTCTATACGAATCTTTGGTTCTTTTACTTCGTCAAGCCGATCCTGGTAACGCTTAAGTAGTAGTAGTAGTTTTTTTTTTAAGAACGAAGTTCTTTATGTCGCGTTACTCGGGGGGCTGGAATTTCAAAACCGACAGATTTTTTTTTTTTTGAAACGAAAGTGGTTTTACCCGAAGTCTCTTCCTCTCAAGTCTCCCCCCTTAC